CCCGGCCCCCGCCGAGCTCACCGCCACGAAGCCCGAAGACGAGGCGACGAACACGCGGATGACCATCCTCTCACTCCGCGAGCTCCGAGCTGAGGCGGACGCGGAAGCCAAGCCCGGCTGGAACCACCGCCGTCGGGGAAGCTCGCGGGGATCCGGCTCCCCCGCCCGGTCCGCAGAGAAAACCCGCCGCCGCTGCCGCGGGCTGGGCGGGGAAGGGGCGGGGAGGGAGGGGGGGAGCCGGCCGCCGCGAGGGCTGATGGGACTTGTAGTTCTGGGCTCTCCCCGCTGGCTCCTGCGGGGCGTGGCTTCAGACCCCGCCCTCCTAGACCCTCCCTTCCAGACCCCGCGCTCCCTCCAAGACCCCTCCTTCCAGAGCCTCCCTCCCAAATTCCTCTCTTCCCAGACCCCTCCCTCCTGGACCTCTTCCTCCCAGATCCCTCCCTCCTGGACCCCCTCCTTCCAGTCTCCTGGCTTCCAGCTCCTCACTCCAAGGCCCCTCCTTCTCAGGCCCCTCCCCCCTAGAACCGCGCCCCCAGCCCCTCCTTTCCACGCCCCTCCCTTTTAAGCACCTCTCTTCTAGACCCTCAGGTCCCCTCCTTTCCAGCCCCTCCCAACTGCCCCAGCCCCTTCTGGGAGCACTGGTGACTTGCCAAGACCTAGGATGGGAAGGATTCAGACAAGAGCAAACTTAAGTAGAAAGGTCTGGGTTCACAGTCTTCAGGACAGGCTCCCCGAGTCCTCCAGGGCGGGGTCGGTGGTACTGACTGGCCTTGCCCATCTCTCCAGTGGTGCTTTTTATTTTGGGACAATGCCCCGCTATGTAGCCCAACGTGGCCTTGAATTTATATCCCTCCTGCCTTGGCTTCCCAGAGACTGGGGTTACAGCATAGGCCACCAGGCTTGCATTGAAAGGCGATTCTTCTAGATAAAATGATAAACTCTTTTTTAAAGTTCTCTCAGATCCTTAAAATTGGAAACCCAGATGAGAAGATAACCAATATTTTATTTTTCTTAACAAAACTGTAATTGTAGGAGAAAAAAATAACCAAGCGAAATGAGAAGCCTTCTATCAACATTGGAAATCGGGACCCCACCGGCCCCACGCCTATCCACACAATGGTGCTGCTTCTGTGCCCCTCATATTTTACATTTGAGCCGAATCTGTGCCTTTTTTTCAAAACCACTCAGGGTTCCAAGGAAGTCTCCCAGGAGGGTCACCGCTTTTAGTATTTGCTAATAGTTTAGGAATACTTCTTTAGCAAGGGTTTTCTGTGTGACCAAAGCTCCCTGAGTCGCACCGTGCTGTGGACGTGAACCAATTTTCCCTGCACTTCTGTATTTACTTTTGTTCCTTTTGTCGGGGGAGTTACACAGAGTTGTGAGAGCAATGTTAATTAATAGTTCCAGAAGGAAAGAAATCAGATGATGAGGTCTGCAACTCGTGAATTTTTTGCCCAAATACTACTCATTTGGATTCTTTTAAAAGAGTGATTTTGACTATGTTTAGTTTCTAGCTATTTCTTACTCTAAGCCCTTCCTATAGTTGTCCCTTTTTAATTGAGTACAATAATATATATATAATCCTCTATTAGTGTCCAAAAAATGTTTTTTTAATATTAGCTGGGTGCCTGTGGCTCAAGCTTGTAATCCTAGCTACTCAGGAGGTTTCGATATGAGGATCAAGGTTTGAAACCAGCTCAAGCAGGAAAGTCTGAGGACTCTTATTTCCAGTTAACCACCAAAAAGCATCTTAAGTAATAAAGTGCCAGCCTTGAGTGAAAAAGCTAAAGGACAACTCCCAGGACCTGAGTTTGAGCCCCAATACTAGAACAAAATAAGTAAGTTTAAAGACATTATATATTAGTTTTGCTATCATTAAAATCACCCTGCAAATGTTTTCCTATTCTAAATGTAGAAGCAAACATTTATAAAATACAAGATGATTTTCATAAAAGTACATATGGTCTTTCCCATATGAATACAAGTCTTCACAAGAGTCAACATTTTCAACCTGTGTGTGCAGTCTGGCTAGCTGTCTGCTTTGTCAATAGAGTTTTATTGCAGTGTGTTCCTTTACATATGAGTTACAGGCTGTGGACCTCAAACTGATCACATTTACCAGCTGGCTCTTTACCTAAAGTATTTGTCCTCTGTCCCTGTTTCTGGTTTAACCTGTTTCCATATCTCTATTCTGCAAATCTGCATCATAGCCATGTATCCTATCATTGACTTTGTGTCTTGTTAAAGCCATCACAAATAGGGTTTATTTTATGCTTACTAAAATTTCCTGACAGTTTTCTAGCTAATTTGTAAACATTTTAAGGACTATCTTTGGGGAAAAAAGATTATTCTGATAATACATCTGTCTTTATTTTCTACCATGAATGAAAAAGTTAATTTCTAGAGTTTACCTGAAGGCTTAATATATTACTTAATATGTTACCAGGCAGGCACATAGGGTATGGAGGCCTATGGTTAATAAACCAAGTAGAAGACTGAGAGTTAAAGCAATCCGGGATATAAGCCAGATGTCTAAGACAAAAACCAGGTATCAATATCACAGAGCAGATTAGATAGCAATCTGACAAGCCAGACTACTGATAGTGCAGGCAGCTGAAACTTTAGAGGTGGGAATCAGAAAACTGAGTAGGTGATTAGACTTTAGAAGAGTTGGCTACCAAAGACATGATGGTTTTCACAAATCTCACTGGACTATCTGGCAAAGATGTTTTAAAGGAGAAGGTCCCTCACCTTTTGTGGGGGTTGGAGGGGAGTATCAAGAAACTTTAAGCCTTCTAATGAAGTCTGTTGACCTCTTCTCAAAAAAAAAGTGTTTCTAATACTCTTTAGGAAATAAAATCTCAGGATTACAATAGAAATTAATATAAGAAATTAGTCATTAAAATAGTAAACATATTCATGTTTATATACTTCCTTATTGGGTATAAAGTTCAGGTGGATAGACCAAATGCCCATCATGATTTTGAAGTAAAAGAGAAATTTTTTTGAGATATTTGCAATAATTGAAAACTGTGAAAATAAACCTGATTTCTGTTGATAATGAAGTCAGATGTTTTGTTGTTACAGTGACTTATTGCTTACATTCAGTAACTTGGTTGGCATTTAGTGAAAAGGTAAAGATGTGGGTTTTTTTTTTTTCTTATTCAAGAGCCATCAAGGCTGGGGAGGAAACTCTAGCTAAGGAATCACAGTGTCTGATGACATCCAAACTTACAGAAATCTATGGTTTTGCATGAGATCCAAATACCCCCAAGGCTGAGCTCTGTAACCAGGAAAATGGTGGAAGATGGCCCAAGATAGCAAAGGTACCTTCAACTGTCGTCTTCCTGTGCTCTCTTTTTGTCCTGTTTCTCTTTGAATACACTTTCCTATTGTCTTTATTTTTTTAAGTATGAAGAAGGTGTTAATATGGTCAAAATATTTTTTTTTAGTCCGGTCGTGGGGCCTGAACTCTGGGCCTGGGCGCTGTCCCTCAGCTCTTCAGCTCAAGGCTAGCACTCTACCACTTGAGCCACAGTGCCACTTCTGGCTTTTTTCTTTTTGCTTATGTGGTGCTGAGGAATCAAACCCAGGGCCTCAGGCATGCAAGGCAAGCGCTCTACCACTGAGCACCTTCCCAGCCCTGGTCAAAATATTTTATGTACATGTGTAAAAATAGATTTGTGGGACCAGTTGAGATTGGTTGGGAGGAGGGAGGAGGACTCTTAACAGAGCAGGTCAGTTCTATCAAGACACATTGTATGCACACATGGTTGTGTCACATGCAATCCTCCTGTACAACCAATTGATCATTTAAAATATGAGAAAAAGGAAGAAAGTATACAAAGAGAAAAGAGAGCCAGGCACCCAGTGGCTCAGGCCTGTTAATCATAGCTACTCAAGAGGCTGAGATCTGAGGATCACCATTTGAAACTAACCCAGTCAGGGAGTTCCCTGAGACTCTTACATCCAATTAAGCAGCAAAACACTAGAGGTGGAGCTGTGGCTCAAATGACAAAGTGCTAGTCTTGAGCTAACAACAAAAACCTCAGGGACAGTACCTAAGCCTTTCATTCAAGCCCCTAGATAGCACCAAAGAGGGGAGAGAGAGAAGGGGAAGGTGAACAAGGAACTAAGAGCCCTGGAGGAATCCTGGGTGCTGGTGGCTTACACCTATAATCCTACCTACTCAGGAGGCTGAGATCTGAGGACCTCTATTTGAAGTCACCTGGGACAGGAAAGGCCATGAGACTCTCACCTCCAATAAACTACTCAGAAAAGTCCAGAAGGGGCACTGTGACTCAAGCAGGGGAGGGCTAGAACCTTAAGCAGAAGCAGCTCAGGGGCAATGCCCAGGCCCTGAGCTCAAGCCTCGGGATGGCCAGGGATTGGGGGGGGGGGCTGGGAGGAGGGGAAGACATGGATGAGCAATCAGAGCAATCTACTTCAAGAAAGTGGAGTAGCCAGAACCCAAGACAAGAATTTTATGTTTCAAAAAGTAGCTAAGAAATAGCCAGTGGCCAGAGGAACCAAAGTCACAACGTCAAGGTGATGGCAACTCCTGGTACCTGCACTAATAGGTGTTTGGCGCATGGCTCTGTTCTGTAGTAGAGTGCCAACCTTGCACTAAAAAGCCAAGGGACAACACTTAAGACCTGAGTGCAAGCCCCTCAACCTGCATGAAAGGAAGAAGGAAGAGGAGGAGGATGAGGAGAAATCAGGAGAAGGGGGTGGGGGAGGAGGAGGAGGAAGAGCAGATTGTAGAGAGCATCAGTAGGCTACCATGCTTTTTTAGGGATGATATACATAATGGAAATGAGAAAAGACATCCTCCCCAGCCGATGTGCACCTCAAATGAGGGCTGGGCATTGTGAGGATGGGGTTAGCCCAGGAACACATCTTACTCAACTTTCCATCTGAAACACTCTTCTTTTTCTTTTTTCTTTTTTTTTGGCGGGGGGGGGGTCCGGTCATGGGGCCTGAACTCTGGGCCTGGACGCTGTCCCTCAGCTCTTCAGCTCAAGGCTAGCGCTCTACCACTTGAGCCACAGTGTCACTTCCAGCTTTTTTCTCTTTGCTTATGTGGTGCTGAGGAATCGAGCCCAGGGTCTCATGCATGCAAGGCAAGTGCTCTACCACTGAGCCAAGTTCCCAGCCCCCACTCTGCTTTTTCATAG